GAAAAGAAAGATAAACCGCCTCCTTTACAAACCCCAGCCAGGGGTTGAAGCCGCAACCTAGGTCTGTGCCCTGACCAGGAATGAAACCCACAACCTTCCGGTGTGTGGGACGACACTCGACCAACCGAACCACCCGGCCAGGGCTAGACTCCTTCAGTTTCGAAAGGCCCTTGCTTGTCTCTGAGGCATGCCCCTCACCCTCCCGTTTTAATGTCTCGAGAGTCAGATGCATCCACAGTGGGGTTGGCATCTGACCTCGGGGATCATGCCCTGAGTGTGTGTCACCACACACAGGCTGAGTTTCTGTTTAATGTGCTTGAAACAGTGCCACATGGCCCAGCCTTGACATAGGTCGTGGTGCACACGTGGTGTAGTGTGTGTTCGTGAAGCCCATCCATGTGGGAGGGATGAGGGAGCGTTGCCAGCCCAGGGTCTGAGGAGGGATGGCCCCTGAGGGAGCGTGCTGAAGGGTTGTAGGCTTTATCATCAGGGACAGCCTGTCAGCCAGGAGTGCAGCTCGGAGAAGGAATTGCCAGAATCAGGTGGTTAAGGCACCAGCAGCTGGCATGACACCTCCACACTTTGCCCAGACTTGTTCAGGAGCAAAATAATGGGGTGTCTCAGTTGATGGTGTCTTTGGTTTGGCGAAATGTGTTATCTTCAGCCCCAGGTAAGTGGTGAGCATGTGTGTAAGCCAAGTGTCCCCTGGGTGGCCCGCCCACACTGGCTGCAGCTCCTGTCCTGGCAGGTGATGGTGGAGGCCTACCGGCGGGACACCGCCTCCAAAGACCAGCTCATCAGCGAGCTCAAGGCCACGAAGAAGAGGCTGGACTCGGAGGTGAAGGAGCTAAGGCAAGAGCTGATGCAGCTCCAAGGGGACAAGAAGTCCATGGAGGCGGAGCAGGCGCGCTTGCAGAAGGAGGTGTCCCGAGTGCAGCAGCAGATGGCGGCTCTCGAAGGGCAGCTGGAGTCGGTGCAGAGGGAGCGCGATGAGATGGAGACCCACCTGCAGGTCTGGGGCTGTGCGGGGCTCCCGTGGGACACTTGAAACTGCAGCAGCTGTTTCATTCTCTGGGCCGTGGGAGCTGGCGAGGGGTGTGGAGCGGTGCTGGGACTGGGGTTCATGTGCACAGGTCCCATGGTTGAGGAGAGGCCACCGTGCAGGTGGGAGCCTGGTGGAGCTGGCAGTCACAGTGAGGCCGAAGGTGCCTGTGGGCAGGGAGAGCGAGACCTCAGTGCAGAGGCCTACTGAGTCTGAGGGGCGATTTCTGAGATGATAAATGGGGGACATGTCAGATCAAAGCTGTTTGACATGTGAGATTTTTTAAAGTCCAGGAGAGGGCCAGGTGGGATGCAGGTGGGTAGATTGCCTGGAGGCTGGCAAGCTGAGAGATTTGAGAACAGACGGTGTTGGAGCCAGGTGAGTGCAGGTTGAGCTGCAGGAGCCAGGGGCTGGGTATGGGACACCTGCAGCCGCGAGAACACGTGCCCTCATGGGTGTGCTTAGGGCAGCGAGCGGGGCCAGGAGGAGGCCAAGGCCCCTGAACCAGTTCACGGTCACTCCTCCGGTGCTGGGGCGCCCACGAGGAGGGAGTCCTTCCCAGCATTCCCGTCCTCTCTCTGACACAAGCAGCTCGGGACACTGGACCTCTCTGAAGCTGCCATTCGTAAAGGGCACAGCTCTGTCAGGGCCTGCAAAGCCCACGTGCTCGAGGCAGCCCCGAACTGGCCTGGGGACCTGGATTGTGTGCTCACGGGCTGCAGCGGCGGCGGGGCTTGTGCTCACGGCCTTCTCCCTCCCGTGCAGGCTCTGCAGTTCGACAGACAGCAGGTGGCTGCACTGACAGAGGCCAACAAGGGGCTCCAGGCCCAAGTGGAAGAGCTACGGCAGGAAGCCGCCAGGTGAGCACTGGGCCTCCCCTTTCTGCGTGTATTTTCATTTGAGTTTTGTGTCCTGCACTGTGCTCGTGTCAGCCTGCGACTGACGTGTGAGCCCGTGGACGGGCTCATTGCCCTGTCCTGTTGGGTTAGGAGCATGTGAACAGCGCTAGGAAGAGCCGGGCGGCAGATGGGAACACGTGCAGGTGGAAGCAGAGAAATGGGTGGCTGGGGTTTGAGCTGCTGTGCTCGAGCGCGGGCCTGGTGTCCAGGTCCAGGTGCTGGCAGGTGGCTCTGCTGGCAGGTTTGAGCGCAGTGCTGCAGGACGGCAACACCAGCCTCGTCTGCTGAGTTTATAAAATGTTGGGAGGGTTCTTGAATCTGGGGGTGGTGGAGCTGGAGGCAGTAAGGGAGACTTGAGACAGCTTATCTCGTCTGGCACGCCCAGGGCCATCACCGAACAGAAGCAGAGGGTGACACGGCTGGGCTCAGACCTGAGCAGCGCTCAGAAGGAGATGAAGAGCAAGCACAAGGCCTACGAGAGCGCCGTGAGCATCCTGAGCCGCCGCCTTCAGGAGGCCCTCACCGCCAAGGAGGCAGCTGAGGCTGAGCTGAGCCAGCTGAGAGCCCAGGCGGCCGATGGTGCCAGCGACCTCGCGCTGCGCGTGCGTACCGCATTTGCTCGGCCCGTCGCGGCTTCTCAGGGTGGGACGTGGGGCTATGAGCATTTCCCCTGAGACCCTCCTAGAATACTAGGAAAGGGGCAGAATGAGTGTGTGGGCAGCACTTCTCTAGAATTCATGGTATCAACGTGACCAGGGATGTGAGCTGCACACAGTCCTCGCCATGGCCCTGTGAACCTGCGAGGTGTGCGGGTCAGCTCTGGTGAGTGTGAAACAATCCAGAAAAGCGTTTTGGGGGAGGTGGCATTTGACTGGCCTTGAATAAATGAGGCTTTGGGGTGGACAGGCCGGTGTTGCAGCAGAGGATCCTGGGAAGGTGAGCTGGGGTCAAGGCGTGTGTTGCGGACGGACAGCTCAGGCTGGGTGAGACCTTTGGCTCTCCTGTTGAAGGGCAGTGAGGCCAGGAGAGGCTGCGATAGAAAGAACCAGAGCACATGCAGGTGGCAGCATGAAAACAGGATTGCTCGGGTTCGAGCCAGTGTGCTCAGCACGGCCCGGCGTCCAGGTTCATGTGCTGGCAGGTGGCCTCATCCTGGAGGAATCGGGGAAGGAGGTCAGTGTCAAGAGCCCAAAGCCTTCTTTAAAAACGATATGTATGTTTTTATTGATTTGAGAGAGAGAGGAAGGGAGAGGGGGAGAGAGAGAGAAACACCAATCGGCTGCCTCCTGCACGCCCCCTACTGGTAATTGAACCAGGACCTCCTGGTTCATGGGTGGGTGCTCAACCACTGAGCCACACAGGCCAGGCCCAAAGCCTTTGGCTTATAGATTATGTTTAAGATAATGGGAGGCTGGTGTCCCTGAGCAGCGTGGAGGACGCGGGGCAGGAGGGAGCTCCTGGCTGGGGCATGGGGTTGAGTTCATGACATGAAGGTTTTCAGACTGGCTTAGGGCCCTGCCAGCTTTGGGTCTGATTGTTTCCTTTCACGTTTGCTGCTTGGAGTAAAATTCTACATGAGTAAATTACTGTGCATTTCACCTGTTGCTCTCCAGCACAAGCTGTTTCACTTTGTTTAGCAATTGTGTCTTCTTTCGTGTGTATTTTCGTCTCCTGGACTTACCATAGCATGCTATCTTTTTGCCGAATTGTTAAATACTCCTCCTCATCTGCTTACTTTATAAAATGTTGGGAGGGGGGAATTTATTCAATTATAATTTCCCTTCTACTATAAAACATTTCTGTCTGTTCTGTTAATTCTTGTGTTTAGATGGCAGGTGGGAGGGTAAAGCCTGTAGACTCTGCTTTCTGCTGCTGCAGGAGCTCAGCCTGAGAGCCACCTGCTGTTCAGTCTGCTCTCAGCAGGTGTGAGGTGGACCTGGGCAGTTGCTCACCTTCCTGGTCCTCAGTAATAGGCCAAAGTGAGGCAAATAGTTAGACCAGTGATGGCGAACCTATGACACGCATGTCAGAGGTGACACGTGAACTCATTTTTTTGGTTGATTTTTCTTGGTTAAGTGGCATTTAAATATATAAAACAAATATCAAAAATATAAGTCTTTGTTTTACTATGGTTGCAAATATCAAAAAATTTCTATACATGACACGGCACCAGAGTTAAGTTAGGGTTTTTCAAAATGCGGACACGCCGAGCTCAAAAGGTTCGCCATCACTGAGTTAGACCTTCATGAGGAGGCTCCGTAGAGACAGCTGGGAAGTGCTCAGAACAGCAAGAGTGTGTATGTGTTCCTGTGCGTAGGTGCACGTGTGCTGCTGGTTATATCATGCAACAGATCACTTGCCACAGATAGTAATTTATAACTTACCTGCAAGTCAAACTTTCCTGTGTTTTCAAAGCACTGAACTGAGGGCGTTTTGTCTGTGAGTCGCTGTGTGCAGGCAGGTTAGTTAAGTCCTCTTAGGGGAAGGGAAGTGCTGTGAGAAGCGCTCACCTGTCTGTGTGGCCGGCAGCCTCTCAGGGTCGGGCGATGCAGGGCTACACGGAGGGAGATTAGCCCTGCCACAGCCATATTGAAGTCCATGACCCGGTTCACCTTTCTGTCCTGCTGTTAGGAGAGAATCCAGGCCCTGGAGGTGGAGTTGCAGACCGTGGGCCACAGCAAGGTGATGCTGGAGAAGGAGCTGCAGGAGGTCATCGCGCTGACTACCCAGGAGCTGGAGGAGTACCGGGAGAAGGTGCTGGAGCTGGAGGACGAGGTAGGCGAGCTCGCGATCACATGGCAAAGTGGACAGGCCACCCACTCCCGGGGCAGCTCTGGAGCAGGGAGACGGGGCCCTGGAGCATCAGAGCCCAGCCGGTGTGCCTGACCTGTCAGCTCTGCCCTCCGCACACTGTTCAGTGCTTCTTTGGATTTGTGGCCACCCAGGTGCTGGACTCCCCGCATGCACGTAACACCTGCCCCAGCAAGGAGTCCCCACACCTTAACACCTGCCCCAGAAGGACGAGTGACCACTGCCTCCGTGTGGTGGGCATCAGAGGGCTTGTGGCAGCTGTGCTCCTGACGAATATGCTCTTTTATTTTATTGTTTGTTAATCCTCAACTGAGGATATTTTTTCCGTTGCTTTTCGGGCGGGGGGGCGGGGGGGCGGGAACACTGAGCTCACCGGCCTGGGCACTCACATACTCTTGTTGCAAATACAAGGAGCCTGGCTCAGACCGGCTGGACTAGAAAGATCCCACATGACCGTCAGGCCCCAAGACGGCGCTGCCCCCGCCCGGTGTGGTGCGCCGTGTCCTGTCGCTGCGTTTCATGCTGGCTGTTCCCTTTTCTGGTGACTGTATAACCTCACTGGCATTTGTTTCAGCTTCAGGAATCCAGAGGCTTTAGGAGGAAGATAAAGCGCCTTGAAGAGTCAAATAGGAAGTTGGCTTTGGAGTTGGAGCACGAGCGAGGGAAGCTCACCGGCCTTGGACAGTCCAATGCGGCTTTGCGGGAGCACAACAGCGTGTTGGAGACGGCGCTGGCCAAGAGGGAGGCCGACCTCGTGGAGCTGAACCTTCAGGTGCCGACTCACACCACGGGGGAGAGGCAGGCAGCCTTCCGGGCTTACCTTGTTGTCTGTGTGCAGCTGTCACAGCTCCTGCAGGGAACGTGCGCACAGCCCAGAGTCTGCCCATAACTGAGTCCCGGGAGAGCTTGGGGTGGCGACTCCTGCTGGGCCAGGTGGGCCTTCCCCAGCCAGGGCAGTTGCCCTGTAAGTAAGGGACTAACCCCATTGGGGTCTCACTCCAGACCTTGTCCTAGCCTCAGGCTCCATAGCCTCTGGTAACTGGGGAAGCTGGGCATTTCAGCGATGCCCTCCCTGGCCATCAGCGGCCTTGGATTTTTTGACCATCAGAGAGTTTATAGACTTGTTCTTATTTTATTTTATTTTTGTTGTTAATCCTCACTCAAGGATATTTTTCCATTGGTTTTTAGAATGAAAGGGAAGGAAAAGTGGGGGTGGGGGGGGTAACAGAGAGACAAAGAGAGAAACATCGATGTGAAAAAGACACATCAATTGGTGGCCTCCTGCACATGTCCCAACCTGACCAGGGATTGAACCTGCAACCCAGGTACATGCCCTTCCTTGACTGGGAATCAAACCCGTGACCCTTTGATGCATGGGCCAGCACTCTAACCACTGAGCAACAGCATCCAGGGCTCTTAAAGACTTTTGTGTGGCACTGCTGCCCACCACCTGCATCACCCCCTCACCAGGGAGGTGTTGGCTTACAGCCCTGATTCACGTGCCTCTTGTCGGCCATAGGCTTGAGTATGGTCATGTGGTCATGCTTCTGCCACCTCAGGTGTGTGTTTGTGTCTCCAGAAATGGAATCTCCATGCTTCCTGTTTTCCACGCTTGGTGGTAACATGTTGTGAGGCCTGTGCCACCCACTGCTGCGCCCCCTGTGTGGCGCCAATCACAGTGCCTGGGCTCTGCAGGCCGTGGCACTGGTGTCCTTCCTGACTCCCCTCTCTGTGCTGCAGGTTCAGGCCATCATGCAGCGCAAGCAGGAGGAGGACCGCCAGATGAGGCAGCTCGTGCAGGCCTTGCAAGCCGCACTGGAGAGAGAGAAGCTGGAAGTGCACAGCCTCAGGGAACAGGTGTGTGGCCGCGTCTGACCAGGTCCACCGCTGCCACGTGCAGCCTTTGCAGGGCACGTTTTCAGTGTCTGAAACTGGGTGCAGGCCTCTGCCTCCAGGAACTTGCCGTACAAGTCCCGAGCACAGAGGTCATAAGGGCATGGATGATGGGGGGGCTGGAGAGCCCTGGTGCCCATCAGGACAAGTGAGGGCAAAGGGGTGCTGCTCCTGCCTTTGCCCTGCTGACGCCCGTGTCCTCCTTCCAGGTGGCTGCAGCCAAAGTAGAAGCAAGGCACAACCAGCGCCACTTCAAGGCCGCCACCTTGGAGCTGAGCGAGGTGAAAAAGGAGCTGCAGGCCAAGGAGCTCCTGGTGCAGACGCTGCAGGCGGCGGCCGAGCGTCTCCAGTGAGTGTCCACGGACCGAGGAGAGGCTGGCTGGCAAAGGGTCCCGACCAGGGCTCTCCCCCAGGCCCAGTTAGCGCACTCAGGTCACCCTTGAGCAGGTCTGGGAAGGAGGACTGTCTGACCCTGTCTCAAGAAGCTCGCGCTTCACCCGCATGTTTCAGTCCTGACGCTGCCGTCCCCTCTGCCCCTTCGGTCCCGCATTGAGAACAGTCCCCCGTGTGAGGGATGTGCCCGCCTCCAGGCTCACTGTCGGCTCTGAGGAGGCAGCTCTATCACGTGTGCAGGGATGCACAGTGGTCCCTCTGACACTATCCTCCCATGGTGATCCTGGGGGTTTGTGAGGCTCAGGTGAGACCGTGCATGCAATGCTCCTAGACGGTCCTGCCCAGAGGGAGCAGTAGGTGAGCTCACCCAGGGCAGGTCGCAGTGAGCGACACCATTGGGGCTGGCATGTCAGGTGGCACACGCGTTGTGTCTGCCTTGTTTCCTGCCCCAGGCTTCAGGAGGGGAGACATGCCCAGGAAGTCGCCCAGTTCCAGGCAGAGCTTTCAGAGGCACGGACCCAGCTACAGCTCCTGCAGCAGCAGTTGGACGAGCAGCTGAGCAAACAACCTGTGGGCAACCAAGAGGTGATGTTGGGAACAGCTTTGCATCCCAGCTCACAGGGCTGCAGGGCTGGGCTCTGTGCGGGCACGCTGAGCCCCTTGGTTCCCTGTTCGCTTGCACAGGGACAGTGATTTGTTCTAAGTGTGACATCATACAAGACACAGAGAGAGAGCACTTTTTGTGCAGGAAGGCCACTGTGAAATTCTTTTGCTCATGTGACTTCCCTCCTACAGATGGAAAACCTCAAGTGGGAGGTGGATCAGAAGGAAAGAGAAATCCAGTCCCTGAGGCAGCAGCTGGACCTGAGCGAGCAGCAGAGCAGGCGGGAGCTAGACGGGGCCGAGCGGGCTCTGCAGGTACCGGGCGTACGACGGGCCGATTTCCCTTAGATGGTCGTGACTTGCGCCGTTACTGTGCCCGCCGCATCTGTGGTAACTGGGAACCGTGGGGCCATGTTACCCCATTTCACAAGGACATCTTGGTCACGCAGCCGACGAGGCCAAGGACACCAGAGCCTGGTGCCCCACTGGGCTGATCTGAAATGTAGTGTGATTGTCACAGCGCGTGAGAGGCCACCAGTTGGGACACACGGCTCCACGTGGTGTCTGGGACAGCCCTGACTGCTGAGGGGGGTGAGGAGCGTGGCTTGTGTATCGTGGCTTGACTGACAACCAGAATCGACTTTGCTTCTTTCTCAGTAGCTGAGCCCGGGATTCACAGGGGATCCCTGAGGTTCATTGTAGGTGTAGTCAGGGCAGCGTCACTGGCTCCTGACAGAAGCCCTGTCACTGGGTAACAACAGGGGGATGTACCCTAGCCAGTTCAGCTCAGTGGATAGAGTGTCAGCCTGTGGACCGAAGGGTCACAGGTTCAATTCCGGGCAAGGGCACATGCCCGGGTTGCGGGCTCGATCCCCAGTGCAGGAGGCAGCCAGTCAATGATTCTCATCGACATTTCTCTCTCTCTCCCCCTCTCTTATTTCCTCTCTAAAATAAATACAAATATTTTTTAAAAAAAGAGAGAGAACAGGGGATGTGAGAGTAACTGTGAGCATCACAGTCTCAACTGCTGGGAGGAGCTAGAGCCAGGAAGGGGCCTCCTACAGCAGCCCGTGCTTTCCTGTCCCCCTAGACTTGCAGCACACGGAGATCTCTGCTGTGCACTGAGATCTTGTAGCTTTGAAAACTCTGACCTGACTTCCCTTAGAACATCAAGTCTGAGCTGGAGGTGATGCGGGAAGACCTGTCCGTGACCCAGAAGGACAAGTTCATGCTCCAGGTGAAGGTGTCGGAACTGAAGAACAACATGAAAACTCTGCTGCAGCAGAACCAGCAGCTCAAGCTGGACCTGCGGCACAGCGCGGCCAAGACGGTGAGCAGCTGTGCCGCCAGAGGAACGGCCTGCGGGCGGGGCGGGCAGGTTCTCTGACAGTTATGGGACCACGTTCAGCAGCTACCGTGTGGAAGTAAGTGGCAGAGAACTCTGCTTGGACAACAGGCCACATCATTTTATTTTATTTTCTACTCAGTTGTTTGCTTCTTTTCATGAGTTCAGGTGCCATTTTGTTGACTGGGCTTTGTAAACCCCAGTGAGGCCCTGGTATGCTGTGTTAGCAAGATCCCTGGCCCTCGGCGAGTCCGGCTGGGACACAGCTTGGGCCTGCGGATCCCAGAACCCCAAGGCTGTGGTCACCGGCCCTGCTCCGGTTGTCTGCATGCAGTGTCTCTCCTCAGTGTGTCTACGTGTTTTCATGGTCAGGGAAGTAGCTTAGATTCAGAGCTTTATTACCAACGTTTGTCTATCTGTGCAGAAGTTTGACGTCTTACAAACGGAAGTCGTCTGGGTTGGAAAATTGACTTAATTTTTTAGGGACTCTCAGAGTCAGGTTGTGGTGTCTCCCAGAAAGGCCCACGTGGGAGCTCGCAGTTAGGGCTCAGCTCTGTCCTGTGCCGGGACTGGGTTGGCTCTCACGTGCAGTAGGAAGGCTGTCTACTAGGCCAGCATTTCCCAAATCCCTGAGGCTGCCTGCTCCATGGGCACAGACAGGCCGATGTGCCTTCTCAGGGTCACGTGGGGCTGGGAGGCACCTGTGACGGCAGAGAGCTCACCGTGCGCTTTTATGAACAGAGAAAGGAACGGAGAGGCGAGGCCAGCCCTTCCAGCCCCGTAACGCCGGTGAAGGTCCCCGACTGCCCCGTCCCGGCCTCACTGCTGGAGGAGCTGCTGAGGCCCCCGCCCGCCGTGAGCAAGGAGCCCCTGAGGAACCTCAACAGCTGTCTCCAGCAACTGAAGTATGGCGGGCTCTGTCTCACGTCGCTTAGTCTCTGAGTCACATGTTTAACTTGGCAGAGTCTCTGTTGCAACACTAATGCCCACCCAGGGCTGCGCAGGTCTGTGTTCAGTGGGCCACATTGTACGGTGAGAGTTGCCTGCAGCTAAATGGCTCTGAGAAACCCTAAGTCACCAGGACCTGAGCCTTTAAATCCCTCTCGCTGTTTGGAAGGCCTGGCCATGTGGGGGCATCTTTTCTGACCCTCAACTCTGTCTTCCTCGTTGTCCCTGAGCAGAAGCCGTGTGTGCAGAGCCTTGTGGCCTATTGGCCTCTGGGTGGCACTGAGAACAGCATCGAGGGTCCCTGCGGTTCTGCGACCCGTCTGTGTAGCTGGTGCAAACAGGGAGTTCTTTTGGTCCCTGAAGGCACCACAGGTGTGAGCGAACGGCCATCTTGGGGAAGCGATAGCATCTGACTGGCCTTCCTACCTTTGCCTCTTGTGTCCCCAGGCAGGAGATGGACAGCCTGCAGCGCCAGATGGAGGCACACGCCGTCACCGTGCACGAGTCACTGTCCTCATGGACTCAGGGGGACCCTGCCGCCAGCCCTGCTTCCCTGGGCGACCAGGCCCTCCCCGGAGGAGACACCGAGCCACCCGGTCCCAGCAGCACCTCCAGAGAGCGGCTGGGAACACCCTCTGCCGAGCACCCCCATGCTGAGTGTGTGTGATTGTCCCTCACAAGGGACCTTAAGTTCTGCTTTACAAGGAGTGAAATAACAGGAGCCACCTGCAGGTCACAACCAGCTTCCCCAGAAGTGACCAAACCTTCAAACCCCAGCTGAGCTCTCAGTGACAGTGTTAGAAGGTGTCTGGGGCCATTTGCAGGAGGCGAACCCTCACCAGTGATATAGACGCTGCTCTGTGGCCACCGGTCCTGGGGAACCTGGTCGTGGGCCCACTTCCTCACTTCACCTCCCCGCGGAAGTGAAATTTTGCACCTTTGGTTTGTATTTTATTTTCACAGCCATCCCACCATAGGATGTGTATGTAAATACTGAGAATCGTAACCTAATCTTTAAAAAGTATGTCCCCGTATTATTTAAAAATGACCTGAATTGTCTGCTTTTCGATTGCCTTTTAAAAATCTGCTGTCAGGAAATAATGTACATGTAGGATTAAGGGATGTCAGTAAGAAAATTATATTTTAAGAAATATAATTATTTTATTTACCTCCTAAAACCAAATATTCTTAGAGCATTCTTTCTTGTTTTTGTTTCACTTTATTTTTGAGTGTCTTTTCCTTGTTAAGTGCACGATGCCCAGCTGTCCAACTGCCCTGCTTGGCCTCACCACCCCCAAGCAACATGGCTTGTCCAGGCCGCACCTTCTGTGCCCAAGTGGCAGTGTCCACCAGGACCTGTGATGGTCGGAGACACGCTGGGCTCAGTGGTGATGGCTGTCGGGTCTGAGGTGCTGTAATGATCAGGCACCCGGAGTGTGTGAGGTTCACCTGTACATGTCCCACCTGAAGTCCTTACACCGGCAGAAACGGACAGACTGTGGGACTTGAGGGTTGTATTTTCGTCCCCAAGTTTGCTAAGAAAATCTAAGATAATATTTATTGTAATAAGTCAGAGTGAGGTGGGTGCATGTGCACCCTGTGTGGATCTGCTGCTCTGAGGGTGGGGTGACATGTCCAGATCCGACATCATGCCAGCCTGTGTGCTGTGTCTTGTGTCTTGTTTGTGGAGAAAACAATATATATTTTTATTGGTTTGAAAGAGGAAGGAAGAGGGAGAGAGAGAAACATCAGTAATGAGAGAGAATCATTGATCGGCTGCCTCCCACACACCCCCTATTGGGGATCAAGCCAAAATCCAGGCATGTGCCCTGATCGGGAATCAAACCTTGACCTCCTGGTTCATAGGTTGACACTCAACCACTGAGTCACACTGGCCTAGAGAAAACAGTGGTATTTTTAAGCTGTCTGTGTTCTCTTAGAACGTGCTGTCATAAGGTTCGTTGATAAAGTAGCGTTAACCACAAAGACGTTTAGAGTTTAAAGAAGGGTCCCTAGTAAGTATTGGGACTTCTAAATACATCTCTCATTTGTACAGGGTCAATCTTGAAACAATACTTGAAAACTCATAAATGTATCCTACTTTTCATAATAAATTGGAAAGCATTTTTGACAAAAATGTTTTTGTGCCATTGGAAGAGAAACATGATAATTTATGTTCTTAGTTACTTTGGCTGCATTATTCTTGTTTTAATTTTAAAACCAAGACATGGCACCCAGCCCCATGCCTCAGTGGCTCTCAGACTCCCCAGGGAAGACCTGCCACTGCCTCCGTGCCCTTCTCTCAGGAAAAGCTAACCCTGAACGCACCCATCAAGGGAGGCCGTCTCTGTCCTTGCCGCCTTCCTTCTCCTGTGCCACCATCATCCTCGGTGCCCATTCTTCAGCTCAGCCAGCACCTGGCCGGCTTTGGTACCGGCTTCGGGCGCGGCTCCTGCTTGCTTATCTCCACCGGACTGACTGCTTCCTCCCAAGATGGGATGTGTTCTTCTGTTCTGGGCAGAAGTGGAATGGGGAATTTACTCATGAGAAACAGCAGTCAAGTCCAGAGTCCGTATAACCCAGGTTCGCCATTGCAGGTGTGTGTGTCTCTTCATCCTGTGTGACGAACGCCGTCCTGTCCTCACTCGGGAAGTTGGCCCGGGCACCTGATGTCCTTACTTGCTTTTCTTACATTTCAAAAAAGCTATTGCAATGTCATTATCATTGATTTCTCCACAATGCACACCAGGTAGATGCCACGGATCTGAGAGGCTTTGTTCTACAGGGCGGGCAAAAGCATGGAAAACATTTCATATGGAAAAATAATACGACAATAATACAAGAATTAACTTCTGTGTACTCACAGCTGTAAACCTACTTTTGCCCCGCTCTGTTTGGAGGGATCAGAGGCGTTTGGTTCGGGTGTGAAACAGGTTCTTGTCCAGGGTCCAGGGCGCAGCATCCACTGGGCAGTCGGCCTGCAGCCAGGGCGTGAGGAAGTCTCCTCGAGCCCCTTGCAGCTTAGGCCTCCCTTGGTCTAGGGTTACTGCAGGTCACCGTGACAACATTTCTACTTCATGGGTATCTTTCTTAACAAAAGTTCAATGTGGTGTGTGAAGATTCTGGGGTGAGGGGCCAGCGTGACCCCCCCTTCAGGGACCCACACGACGTGGACAGGCCTGTGACGTGTGAGACACTCAGCCTTATTCACGCAATGACCACGTCCCGGGCGCGTCCCATGGTGGTGGTCTCAGGTTATATAAGAGAGTCTTCGGGGGCATGTTTTAGAGGGCCTGGGACACTCGGTTTTAAGTTATTCATTTCTATTAAGAATTTCCTCATAAAAGGGAGTCCTTAGATTGGGGCGTTCAAGGGAAAGATGTCATCATGCACCACAAATTGTAACTTTAAAAAGCATGTTGATTTTTTATAAATTTAAGCGTGCTTGGGAATTCCTTAAATTTTGTGCAATAAACTATTTTTTGTTAAATATTTTCATATTTCATTGGTGGGTGGGGCTCCACATATTGGGAGTAACACTTACCTTACGTTGTTACTCTGTTCAAATACTCGTCTCCAAAGAATTTTACTGTTTTGCCAAAGTTTTAGACAGGCTGTGAAATCCAGCGTCGGTGGTGGATCGAGTTACCCGTATTGTTGCCTCTCTGTCTCCACGTCACCTGCTGCCACATGCCAGTCAGTCTTAAGAGGGGAG